GGAAAGACAACTTTTTCTGCTGTCCTGTTGTACCCTCAATTTCTATTCTTAGTGCAGCTACCTAGGAGCTAGAAACACTAAATAAACTTCTATAAATATATAGTATTTTAGAAGAAAGGGCAATTGAGGATGCCACTGCTTATTCCAAATTTAGATAGTCTCAGAATAAGTAGAGTCCAGACTCTGAGATAGAACTCTTTTGTACAGGTTGATAAATGAGCAGCTGACTACGTTCTCTTATACCTTTCTTCTGACATTTATGTTTCATAACACAGAATAACTAATTTTTAGCTGTTTAGGAAGTTTGGTACATTTAACTAAATGGACTGTTTATCGTCTTTCAGGCTCTCTGCTACAAAGATCTTGGTGCCTATGAAGGAAGGGGAAGAATGAAGTTTTACTGTCATGATTGCATCTTTTTGCCTTGTACAGTCTTTTGAGAATCTGGTGAAAGTAGTGAACTTATATAAAAAATGCACATGGGCTCAATCAAACAAACATTTTTACATAGAATTTCACGGTATTTCTGGTCTTTTTGAAACTTACCGTAAACCCAAGCTTCTGTAGGTTCTCTGAACTTCAGACTAAGAACTCCTATCTTAAATAAAAGCAATCCTAAAAGTTATAAGTGACCTAAGATCCTGTAACATAATAACTTAGATATCTGATGCATCCAACAAAGGGGAAATTTTTACTTGGGGTCCAGTAACAATCTTTAGCCACTAGGTTCATTAAGTGTTTTTCTCTCTCTTCACTGGCTGTTTATAGCCTGCTCTGATGGGTTCTTTTCTTTTATCCAGCATCTAAAAGTTGGATGTGCTCAGAGTTATTCTTGGGCCCCCTTTTCTCCTACTTATTGTTTGGTGAATGTCTTCCTCACCCTTGAATTTAAATACCACTGCATTGTTGATGGCTGCTAGATTTATATCACCAACCCATATCTTCTCAGAGTGCTAGCAATTGCATACTTAAAAATCTGTTTACTGGGGCGCCTGGGTGGCTCAGTCGGTTAAGTGTCCGACTTTGGTTCAGGTCATGATCTCGCGGTTCGTGGGTTTGAGCCCTATGTCAGGTTCTGTGCTGGCAGCTAACTCAGAGCCTGTTTCCAATTCTGTGTCTCCCTCTCTCTCTGCCCCTCCCCCGCTCATGCTCTGTCTCTGTCTCAAAAATAAACTATAAAAAATTTTTTTAATCTGTTTACATATCTTACAGATATCAGCTATGTAACTGAAAAAAATTATTACAAATATTTTGATAATTGCTTTATTGAGAAAAAATTCACATACCATAAAATACGTGCTTTGAGAATGTACAACTCCGAGATTTTTAGTATAGTCACAGAATGTGCAACCATTACCACTATCTAATTCCAAAGCATTTTCATCACTCATAAAGAAACCCTGTACCTATTAGCAATCACTCATTCACCCCCACCATCAGCCCCTGGCAACCACTAATGTTTCTGTCTCTCTCTGTATTTGCCTATTCTGCACATTTCATATAAATGGAATCATGTAACATGTGGCCCTTTTCTGGTTTCTTCACTTAGCATAATGTTTCCAAGATTTAACAATACTGTAGCATGTGTCAATACTGTATTCCTTTTTTTGGGTAAATCGTATTCCAGCGTGTAGACAATGCCAAGCCGACAGTGCATACCTGTTTTTGCTGAAGCTCTACTCCTTCAGTGATGTGATAATTAAAGCTACAGAAGGTGAAAATAAATCGATATTATGCATAATTTGGATTGAATATAATATCACAGCTGATATTTAGAGATTGATTTGATTAAAAATTATATAATACTATTACCTTATTTCCAAAAGAACACAGAATGTGGGGCAATCATTTTGAACTTCCTGTGAAGTCTCAAACACATTCTGTGATTCTTTACTTTTGGAAAGATAAGCAGGCTGTTTTGTTGTTTTTATGTGTGATTAGCTTAATCTGTTTAATACTTTTGTTTAAAGTTTATTTATTTAATATCTGTACCCAGCATGAGGCTTGAACTCATGACCCCAGAATCAAGAATTGCATGCCCTTCCAACTGAGCCATCCAGGTGTCCCTGAATTGATAGTTTTTTACTTTTAAAGGCTTTATAGAATACATTTTGTATAAAATATTTAGTTGTTCTAGGACAATGGCTTTAATCTCTAGGTCACATTCTAATACATTTTCTTTTCACAGTTTGAAATAAGCTACCATTATTTTCAGTGAAAAATATCTTAGTGTTTAAATTGTATTATTAAATTATACTACAAAATGCCAAACTGTTAAAGGAAAGGATTTTATTTCCTTCATACTTTGAGGTTTGGTATTCATGAAATGTATAGAAGTGCCAAACGTTTGAAGATCTAAATGTAAAACTATATTTGGATGTGAACATCTAAATAAATCATCAGGGTTATCTAAATATTATTTTACATTATGATTACAGGCACTAGCCTTGACTAAACTATAGTCTTTTTCCAAATCCATTTAGAAATTTCCTAAAACAGATCAGTGGGTTTTTTTGGTCATGAGAGAACCTTTATAGAAAAGTAATAAATGGATTTTTTTTAATGCAGTGATTTCATAAGGAAAATATTTTTGATTATAGAGTTAATATGAATAAGCTAGATTATGGAATTTTTTATTCTAAATGTTATGAATCATGTGATGAAGAACATAGAAACTGATCATGAATTCGACCATTCTCTGCTGTTAGGAGAATTCTCTGCATGATCAGTGTGAGAATTTAATGAGGGACTTTGATGGGTGAAATGTTATACTCCTTACTGTGTGGCACCCTACCGTGTGAGAAAGAGTAGGCAGAGATCTTGATTAGAAGATGTAAGTCAAGTTACATTGATAGGCAGTGAGGAGGGCTATTGTTTTTAGATTTTGAGGTGTTGATATGAGATTGTCATAGTCCCTTGTTTGATGAGGTGCACGTTAGTGGAGCTTTAAATTCACAATGTAGAATAGAATGAGCACTTATCAGAACAGAAGGAAATGTGTGGTTAAACGGTTTCAGCTATAACTGTAGACTATTTCCCTTGGTCCAATGGGAGGAGAAATGGAACCTTATGTTTTGAGCTTTTTTTCCCAATATAAATAGAAGTTAGTTCAGAGTGGTTTATTGGAGCCCTTAACAGGAAAAAGAGTTGTGCTTAATAGTAGAGGGGAATAACAAAAATAAGATGGCATATTTTACAGGTGTCTCAGTTGTAATTTTTTGAGCGTATTTATAATTATTGACAGTTATTCTTATTAAACCTTTCTAAAAAGAATGCCCCAAAATTTTTGAAGAAACTGCTGAATTGAGAAAAGAAAAAGGCAGTACTTCCAGCTTTTTCCTTAAAATGAAGACTGTCGTAACCAATTTTATATAATTACAGGTAGTAAATAATGCTAATTTTAGCTCACAAAAGCACGTGGATTATTCACATAAAGTCTATTTGGAGTAGACAAATGACAACCATATTTATAAAGGTATATTTGTTAACCTGGAAGTTCGAAAAGTCATTGAAGTCCTGCTTCCTCTGCATTTACGAAATATTGTTAAGACATTAAAAATGCTAAACATTTATACTGATTTTTAGTCTGAAGCTCATGTTGTTTTCTTGCTTTAACTTTTTTAAGTTTACTTATTTACTTAGAGCATGCATTACAAGTCAGGGAGGCATAGAGAGAGAGAATCCCAAGCAGGCTCCATGCTGTTAGTGCAGAGCCTGATGTGGGGCTCGAACTCATGAATTGTGAGGTAATGATCTGAGCCAGAATCAGGAGTCAGAGGGTTAACCAGCTAAGCCACCCAGATGTCCCTGAAACCCATGTGAAATGAGGTAGAGAAGATCTAAAACAATGTTTGTTGTGGTTTTTTAGTCACTGTTAGGATAGTTTGATATTAGGATGGGAGGAAGAGTGTAGGAATTATAATAAATTTCTTATATTTCTTACTGTTTGACATTAAAATGTTCACCTTAAGATGATAGCATTAGCACCTTTCCTTTCTTGGTAGATATTTAATGGTTCTTGAGAACAGTTATATTTTCAGGCAGTATCAGAATTTGGTGGTTGAAAATGAAACTGGTCTGAATTTTGAAATCATACCCAAAGTCACTTTTAATCTAGAATTATTTATATTTACTTGAAAAATAATGGTAAATAAATAAATGTTGTATCAGTTAAGTTTCTTTGGTTAAAAGCAGACTAAGTGGCTGACTGAAGTTAAAAAGGAAAAGAGCTGCATTACTTCATGGAAAGCAATGAGGTAGCTTATAAAACTGAAGGCAAGTCTGCAAAGCCTGACTCTGGGTGGCTCCAGGGATCCAGATAGAGGGAACTGTGTGTACTTTCTTTAGGGGCTGGTGAATTCCAGCTGTTTTCCATCTTTATATCTTTTTTTTTAAATTTTTTAATGTTTTACTTTGTATTTTTATTTTTGAGAGAGAGAGAAAGAGACCGTGTGAGCAGGGGAGGGTCGGAGAGAAAGGGAGATACAGAATCTGAAACAGACTCCAGGCTTTGAGCTAGCTGTCAGTGCAGAGTCCGATGTGGGGCTCGAACCCACGAACCGTGAGATCATGACCTGAGCCGAAGTCGGATGCTTAACCGACTGAACCACCCAGGTGCCCCTCCATCTTTATATCTTTTTACCTAAGGTTAAAAAAATGAATGCAAAGTACCTATTGTCCTAGCTTCAGCTGAAACAGCAACTATGCCTACCTCAAGTATCATTTTACCACAGTTTTTATAAAATTTGTATAACTTTCTTTTAAAAACAGTTTGAGAGAATTATGACTAGGAATAAAGTCCTGGTATACCAGATTAACTTCTAAAATTTGATCAGAGGCTATGGTTTATATACCTTCGTACAGTTCTTAATTTTATAATTGTATTCATCTTCCCGCCCCCCCCCCCCAAGAAAACTACAGGTCTCCTTAAAGCTTATTCTTCATTTTTGATGTGTCTGATGGCTTATCTCTGGTTTTCATCTGTCTTTTCTGTGTCTTAGGTGTATTTGAAGGCTCCCATGATTCTGAATGGAGTCTGTGTTATCTGGAAAGGCTGGATTGACCTCCAGAGACTGGATGGTATGGGCTGCCTGGAGTTTGATGAGGAGCGAGCCCAGGTATGGTGACTTCAGGCTCTACTGAGCATGGTCCCTTTCTGTACCCCTAATCTTGCCTTCAGCTGGGCATCTATTTTACCCCATCTTTAAGAGTAAGTATAAAGTCTCATGTTCAAGTGACGTTGAGGAATCCTCAAGATGAGGAGACTCATTTCATTCCTGGTTTTGGGGAAAGTTTTTCCTTAAGTGGTTCTAAATATCACTGGATTATTCCTGTCTGCTCAGTGGGGCCCTTCAAAGTCCAGTAAATGGTTCTGTTTAATATTTGTTCTTGATCTTTAGAACATTAGAGAGGGGAAAACAGTTCAAAATAAAATGTATCATTTCTGGAATGGAGCAGCACTTCTGGAATGGCTTGGTGAGGAGTTTGGCAAATCCTGTCCCCAAAAAGCAGTGCTTAAACTGGATACATTGTTAAGAAACAAAAACAAACAACAACAACATTTAAGGTCTCTGGAAATTAACCAAAGGATATGCATTGAGAAGTATTTATTCAGAAAAGCTATTGAATTTCAGTAAGGAGAGTGATAGCTTGTGTCAGTAGCTCCCTCAGCTCTGTCGTCCCTCAGGTTAGGCAGGCAGGCAGGACAACCCATGGGGACTGGCCCTATTGTCCTGTCAGAGGGGGCTGAATTTATTTAGAGCAGTGCTTGAAGAAATCCATACCCAGAAATATTATCAAAAACAATAGAGGTCTCTGTGGCAGATGTTCTGGGTAGGCTAATGACATGGGAAGCAACAAAATGGCCAACTAGCCAGAAATTTACCAGAGAGATCTCGTGAAAGAGGTTGCTAATAGGTGGGCCCTGCTAAAATCACACTTATTTCTCCTGGTCCAGAAGACTATGCATCTATTAAAGCCGCACTGGCTCAGGAGAAAACAAAGAGGGCCCTTGCAAGCTACTAATGTGTAGAGTGATGAACTCCCTGTACTTTGAAACTATCCTTCAGCTGTGCACAGATCTATTGGCAAAAGAATGAAGCCTGCTGGTTCAAGGTGTTTAAGCTAAACCTCTCAGCAGTCATTGGCAGTCATTGTTTTTGGGGAAACAAACTCAACAGAATTAGTCCATGTAAGTCACTAAACAGATAAAAACAGCAACAACACGTTGGAGGCAGGGATCAGAATTCAGAGTTGCTGTGAAATAGTATCTATGTCCAATTTTTAACCAAAAAATTAAAGAGGCATGCAAATAGACATGAAGGTATTACTGATACTCGGGGAAAAGCAGCCAATAAACACTATCTTTGACGGATCCCAAATGTTGGTTCTTAGTGACAAAGGCTTTTAAAAGCAGTTATTTATCAGTATGTTCAAAGAATTAAAGCAAGATTCTTTAAAGAGTTAAAGGAAAATTAGGACAGTGAGTCATCAAATGGAGCACGTCAATAGAGATCACTCAATTTTCGAGTTGGTAAAAGAAAGATACAGTGAATTTGAATATAGATTAATAGAAATTATCCAGTCTGAAGAGCAGAAAGAAAAACAACAAAAACAGTCTCAGAGAATATGGTACACCAGCATGTATACCAATGTGTACATGTAGCGAAAGTTCCAGAAAAAAGAGAAAGGGCAGAAAGTTTAAGAAATAAGAACAGGTGAAAACTTCCAAATTTATTGGAAATAGTCATCTCCATATTCAAGAAACTCAGTGAACTTCAAATTACATAAACACAAAGAAATCTACACCTAGTTGCATCACAGTCAGATTTTGAAAAAACAATCTCAAAAGCAGCAATAAAAAGGACTCATCACATGCAAGGGAGCCACAATAAGATTAACAATTGACTTATTTTTTGAAATCATGGAAACCTGAAGGTAGTGGGATGACAATGACATTCAAAATGCTTAAAGAACATGTAAAAGTGTCCATTTAATAGTAGGTATTGATTTCTTTCCATTGTTTTTATATTCTCTTTCTTTTAAGGTTTTTGTTTTGTTTTGAGCAGAAAGCACAATCACTAGTGGGGGAGGGGCAGAAGGAGAGAGACTCTTAAGCAGACTCCACGTCCAGCACAGACACAGGGCTTGATCTCAAAACTGTGAGATCATAACCTACGCCAGAACGAAGAGTCATATGGTTAAACAGCTGAGCCACCCAGGCGCCCCTGTATTAATCCTCATAATAAAATTAAAATAATGACAGGAATTTTTAAAAATTCTTTTTTGTTGCTGTTTCTCTCCTGTTGTCTGTTTCTGTGCTCTCCATATATGGCAATGTGAGAATTTTTCTTATCAAGAGAAAAAAAAGCCAAAACCTTCCTAGTAAAAAATTAAGATTCAAAGTTAAGTGGCGCCTGGGTGGCTTAGTTGGTTAAGCATCCCACTTTCGCTTAGGTCATGATCTCGCGGTTCGTGGGCTCGAGCCCTGCGTCGGGCTCTGTGCTGACTGCCACCTCAGAGCCTGGAGCCTGTTTCAGAGTCTGTGTCTCCCTCTCTCTCTGACTCTCCCCTGCTCATGCTGTCTCTCTCTCTCCTAGAAATAAACAAACAAACAAAAAAAAACCCAAAGTTAAAATTCTTGGGGTGCCGGGCTGGCTCAGTCAGTAGAGCATGCGACTCTTGATCTTGGGGTCATATGTTCAATCCACATTAGGTGTAGAGATTACTTTAAAAATAAATAAATTTTAAAATTTTAAATTAATTTGTTTTGAGAGAGAGAATGCAAGTGGCGGAGGGGCACAAAGAGAGAGACTTTGATGTAGGGCTCAAACTCATGAACCCATGCATGAGATCATGACCTGGGTCAAAATCAAGAGTTGAACAATTAACTGACTGAGCCACCCAAGCGCCCCCAAAATTAAAATTTAAAAAAAAAAATTTTTTTTAATGTTTATTTATTTTTGAGAGAGAAAGAGTGCGAGCAGGGGAGGGGGAGAGAGAGGGAGACACAGTTTGAGCTATCAGCACAGAGCCCAATATAGGGCTCGAACTCATGAACCTGAAGATCATGACCTGAGCCACAGTCAGATGCTCAACTGACTGAGCCACCCAGGTGCCCCAAAAACTAAATTTCTTAAGAAGGAATCCCTGCTATTTTGATTTCCAAAGGGATAAGGAGTCACCAACTCTTTCAGAGAAGTAGTAAATAATTAGCAATTTATAAGGCTGTTTCTGTAATAAGTGATAGAGCAGATTGAATTTATGTGAGGTAAAATTTCAGATTAGTTGACTTCTAAAATTGAAATATTTTTTTTTTAAATGTTTTATTTATTTCTAGGAGAGAGGGAGAGACAGCGTGAGCAGGGGAGGGTCAGAGAGAGGGAGTCACAGACTGAAACAGGCTCCAGGCTCCGAGCTGGCAGTCAGCACAGAGCCCGACACGGGGCCCGAACCCACGAACTGCGAGATCATGACCTAAGCGAAAGTCGGACGCTTAACCGACTAAGCCACCCAGGCGCCCCTAAAATTGAAATATTTTATTAAAATGATACATAAAAATTTTAAGCCTAACCCACAGCATTTTCCATACTTAGAATTTTCCAAGTTTTCAGGTCTACAAATTGAGATTTATCATTACAAAGTAAGTACTGTCTGTTGTGATAACAAACTAATTTAATAATTGGTCTTACATAATGTAAATATTTTAAAGCAGGGGATTCTAAACATTCAGTGTACAGTAAGCACTTTTCTATAACCTTCCCTATCCCAAAATCATCTGTGTGATATGTAGAATTTAGGATTAGGAGCTGCATTGTCATATAATAGTGTAAATCCTAACCCCTGTTATGGACTGAATGTTCTGATCCCCTAAAATTCATATGTTAAAGCCTCAATCCCCCATGTGACTGTATTTAGAAATAAAGTCTTTATGGGGGTAATTAAAATTACATGAAGTCCTGAGAGGGGCCCTGATAGGATTAGTGTCCTGGTAAGAAGAGATACACAAGAGAGCTTGCTTATTCTCCCTCTCTGCTGTATGAGAACAGTATTCTCTCTCTTTCTTTTCTGTTTTAAATTGAGAAAATTTTAATTCTACTCAAGGGATGAGGACAGTATTCTCTAACAGATGCTGAGGTGCTTGGCACCTGGTAAGCTAAGAGAGAAAGAGTATGGTCACAATTCCATCCTAATTAAAGTTTGTTGAGTATTTCAGCTGACATATTTTCACAGGTATTGTCTTCATTCAGAGTACTCTTGACAAACGTTGGCAAGGATATGAAACAACAGTTGGTATGTTGGTTATGTAAAATTGACACAACATTTGGAAAACTGGCAGTACATACTAAAACTGCAAATTACATGCACCTGTGACTCAGCAGTTCTTCTCTGAGTTTCTTGGTATCCAATAGGAATAAATACATATATTCATCAAAATATATGTACTGGGCATTTATAGCAGCATTATTAGTAATAGATGGAAACTGCAAACTGCCCAAATACCCATTAACAACACTAGAATGGATAAATTGCATATTCACACAAAGAAATACAGTGATCATGAAAATCTACAACTAGAACACCAGTATGGGTGGATTTCACAAATATGTTGAGTGTACCCAAAGAGCACATATTCTATGAATCCATTCATAAGAAAGTACAGAAATGGGCAAAACTGATAATATGTGCTGTTAGAAATATGGAAAGTGGTTTATCCTTGAGAGAGGAGGTTAGTTATTGGAATGGAGCAGAAGGAGACTTCCAAGGTACTGTCACTGCTCTCTTTCTTCCTATGGATTCTAGTTACATGGAAAGTTCAGTTTGTGGAAATTCATCGAGTTGTAACTTAGGACAGCGCTGTCCGGTATAATTCAGATGTGAACCCCATAATGTAATTTAAGTTTTTCTAGAAGCCACATTAAAAAAGATAAAAGGAAGCAGTTATATTTAATTTTTATATTGTATTTTGTTTAACCTGGTATATCCAAATTATCACACTTGAATATAAAAATTAATTTGAAATGTTTATTAAGATGTCCCGCATTTTTTTCTTTGCAACAAATTCTTGAAATTCAGTGTGTATTTCAAGTGTGCAGTAGTGAAACGAAAGAGCTCTTCT